CAGTTTTTAGTAGATTAGATTGAGAATAGTGACTGACTCACTCAGTGCTCTGCTGTGAAGTTAACTCCTGAGTAAGCATTTGAACCCGGCACTCCCCAATGTCAGTCAAATACTTTAAGTCACTGTGAAAACCTGGCTTTTAACTTTAGTATTCTTTTTTTTTTTTAAATGCACAGGATCCATTTACTGCTATTTGAAATGGAAAACACTCAAAGTTTGTTTATCAAATCTATATAGCAGCCCATCTCATGCAAGGCAATTCTGCTAGTGTTGTGTTTTCATGACAGAGCAGAATGGCCATTCGAATGCTAGTGTGCATTTTCTTGAATAGCTGCCGCTGTCCTTGCTGTTGGTCTTATGCATATTAAGATTTCTCTGTCTTTCTATTCCTAGATTTTATAAACCGCACATGCAGCGTCTGGAGCCTTAAGAGGTTTTTTGCTGGTGTTGTACAATAAGGAGGCAGCACCAACCATGCCACCAGATAGAAAAGAGCAGTGAAAATGTTTCTTTAGAGAGAAACTTGAGATCTACTCTCCCAACTGCATTTTTGATACACAAGTAGATTTTCCTAGCTAGTTTATAAATAAACCTGTGTTAATACCTTGAACACAAATGCTGCTTGATTATTCTATTTGGAAGTAAAAGACACGAAAATGATAGCAAGAGCACTTCAGACTGATATATATTTTCACAGTGCTTTACAGCCCTCTCTAAGCAGTTTACAGGGCATATTTCCCCCTATTTCCCCCAACCATTTGGGTCGCCATTTTACTGACCTCGGAAGGATAGAAGGCTGAATCAACCTTGAGCCCTCCAGGATCGAACTATTGGCAGTTGGCAGAGTTAGCCTGCAATACTGTATTCTAACTACTGTGCTACCATGGCTCTTCATCGAAGATGACACTTTGATCCAGTTTTGTATTTTTATCTCAAATCTTGCTTTACGGGAAAATGGTGAAGTTGCTTGCAGTTCTATTTTCCCTCATTTGCATAATGGCCCAAATCATATTAGATTTTGTTGCAGTTTGAAAAAGGGAACATAGAAATTGTGGGATGTTAGCAATGCTGTCCTTAGTTACGTTGTAAAGATTCATTTCAGGGATATGAATTCCAGTACTTCCATAATTAGTCATTCTAATTACATTGCCATCTGCTAATCACCAGAAAGGCTAATACTTACCACTGTTGTGGTTACTTGAGTCCCCCTTTAGCATGTAGTATCCATCACCGCCAGCAGCAAGGAAAGAAGGTAAAAGCACTTTGTAGGTCTTTTCCATCTCAAGCGGCACATAAGTTGGTACTCTGCACTCTGTGCAAAGAACATTTAAGCTGACCACCCTTTTCCCTGGCTTTTGGGAGAGATCATACACCACTTTTATGCCTATTAAGAAACAAAAGTCACAAGTATTTATGTACCATCTATTGCAAATCTCTGGTTTGTATCTCTAAAAATATTAACAAACAGTTGTGCTATTCATGACTTTTGGTGGGTTAGGGTTAAGGTTAGGGTTTGGTGGACAAATGGTAAAACCAGATTCACAGTACCATGGATTCAAGTCTGCTTGCAAAACACTTCTACTAGCAGAAAGGGAGAAGTTATTCTTAATTCATTCTACGGTAGCACTTTGCATCCGTTCCACATTGGCATAGACCATCAGCACAAGAGATGTGCTGGTTACAGGAAATTCCCCTCTGACAATTTTCCTCCAGCAAGAACCTCTATAGGAAAATTGATTCTTCTGAAAACAACTTCATGTCCAGCCTCCCCCCACCCCCCTCCGCACCTTTTAAACCATACTAGGAGTGCTCACAATGTAATATGCAAGTGCATTTCTAGCTTTACTGCTTATGGAAATTGGGGCAGGGAAATAAAATAAATATATTCCTGCAGCATTACAAAATGGAAAAGTACCTTACCAATAGGAAACTAATAGACAACATAATTTTTCAACGTTATTGTTATTTTTGAGTTTTTTAAAAACTAGGAGTTACTAATTCCACTTTATAAGAATTTACCATAAATCAGTGCAGATTACAATTACTGTTTTCCCATGAATCCAGAGGTGGTATTCAGCAGGTTCTGACCAGTTCTGGAGAACCGGTAGCAAAAATTTTGAGTAGTTCGGAGAACCAGAAAATACCACCTCTGACTGGCCCTGCCCCCATCTATTCTCTGCCTCCTGAGTCCCAGGTAGTCGGCTGGGTCTTCTTTTGTTGCCCTGCACAGGAGAACGGAGCTGGAAAGCAGGTTAGTGGGGTGGGGAGAGAATGGAAATTTTGCAGTATCCTTCCCCAAGCCATGCCCACCAAGCCATGCCCACAGAAATGGTAGTAAAAAAATTTGAATCCCACCACTGCATGAATCGCTATTGTTGAGTGGACCTTCATTAAGTAAATAAAGCCATGAATGACTAAGTGTTTCTCATCTGCTCACCTCCAATTCAAAAACAGTCGAATGCTAAGAACTGACCTACCATTCACAATCATCTTTACATCCCAGCATGTAAATCCTGAAACATTTTATTTATGATGTGGCTGCAGCAACACAGTGTAGCTCCAGGGAAAGAAATGAGGGCAGGGGTTTACACAAGACCACTGCTGTATGGTCGGAGGGATTCTCATCTCCACTACCAAGGCTAGATGAAGGTCTGTGTTGAATTATGCTTGATCTGGCCTGGAATCTGGGCTTCAGATTATTCTGATGCACATCCCCATGAAAACTTCAACCAAAGATTGAGATGTTTGGCATTATTTATTTGAAGCTTGGCTGCCTTCCCCCCCCCCCCCCCCCCCCCCCCCCCCGCTTTCCCTCACAGTTTGGCAACAACATAGGGAAAGGTGAGTACTGGGGCCTCCAGTATGTTGTGTTTGTTTACATCCAATGCTATTCAAGCTGGAAGTCTGAGACAGATTCTTATTCCGGTTACCTGACTCCTTAGTGACACTACACCTCTGGGATGATGCCCATGCTGGAGATTACTGTAAATCATTCTTTCCCGCCCCTCCGCCCCCCCCCCCCCCCAGGAGGGGAGGGGTTGAGCAGGAAAAGATGAACTGTTAATGCTCGATGAAAAAGATTTTAGCACTTGGTGCTGGCGATGGATGAAGATAGCTAACCTGAGACCTGTAGCAATTCCCCAGTTCCTTGCCCATGTCGGTGAACACTGTGCTCAAATGCTTGTCTTAGAGTAGAACCGTTGATCTGCAGCAAGTCGAAAGTTCCTCCAAATGGCAAAACTGCTGTCAGTTCCTCCAAGGTAATAATGCCTGATTAGAACACAACAGCGATAAGTCATAGTATGCACAATTTTGTTCCTTTTTAAGCTTTGTGGAATTGCTTAAATAGAAGAGAGCGGAGTTCAAACCTTATTCCACAATGAGACTCCCTGTCAGACCTTAAGACTAGTCCTTATCTTTAATGGCATTGTAGGAATCACCTTGGGAGACAGGAGCAAGATCCAAGGATTAGAAAAACCACCATGCAAAAGGTATCTCAGCCCTCAGAAGAAAAAGGGATGTGAGGAGCATCTCAGAAGGGATCTTCCCTAGTTTACTGGGAAGTAAAAGGAAAGGAGGGAAGAAATGTTTTCATATTTGAAAGATTCTGTTAATGCAACTTTACAATAAAGATATTGCAATTGTGCTTTTTGTGTAGGTGACCTCAAAGGGCTAAACTATCTTCCACTCCACTTTGCACCTTAGAATTGCATCTAGTTTGCATCTTGGGCTAAAAGTGGCAGGCCATCAATCATTCATATGAAGAGTAGGAATGTTAATTTTATTTTTGTGGTTTCTACCCGTGCCATCTCATGGTCTCCAGTGCACTGCAGTATAAAAATTAAATTACGTTTAAAGAATTAGTTAAACACAATAAAAACATAATAATGTGCAGTTTAAAGTATCAGAAAATCTCAATCAATCAATCAGAATTTATTACAGTCATAGACCAGAGGTCATTATCAGAAAATCTGCAAGCACTGTTTTTCAATGTGTATAAAAATGATTAGATGATTTTCCAAGAGAAAAACTAGTAGTGCCACAGGGGGTTTGGATAAGATATTTACAGCAAAGTAATAAAAACATAAATAAGATGCTTTGTAAAGGCCAACTTGATATAGTTTTTAAATATTAATGGAAGAATGGGATTTTTTCCCATAAAGGAAGTTGCAAAAGAGGGATTTTAGAAAACTGTGACAGTAGTTGAATAGAGTGGATACAAGTACAAACTTAAATATTGATATAAAACGAAGGGAAATTGAAGTGGCACTGTGTAAAAGCTCTTGAAATTGCACATACCGTTATTGGCTTGTTCATCAATAGGTGACCGTATTCCACCACCATTTACAATGCACATGGAAACATGATTCCACTCAATATCATCTGGGTGTCTTAAGTTATTGTAAACCTAAAAACGTTCATAAAGAACAAAAAAGGTGAATCCATCTTCCACTATCCTTTTCACTTAGCTTTTAAGGTCATCGGTGTATCAAAGCTAGAACTCCTGAGATGATATCTAACAGCATAGCTGTTTTCCACTAAAACCAAACAAGCCTATAGTAAAGTAGTTTTGTTACAAATCTTCCTTCCTTGCAGCACCCCTCCCTCAAAAGGGCCCCTTCTCTCTGGCAATGCGGCTTTCAAAGAGCCTCCACTAATGCCAATGGGAGTTCTTTTGCTATCTGCATGGAAATACTTTTTTTTGGAGAAAGACATAAAATTGAATAGAGAGGGCTTAGCTCATTCTCTTCAATAGTAGCCTCCTTTTAGATTGCCCTTAACAATACTTCTGGAAGCCTTACTGAAGGGTATTTGTTGTTTTTTGAGAAAAGAAACCTTAATCCTGAGCTGCTCCTCATCACAGATAAAGATTATTTCCCATTTTGAGGCAAAGTGAGAAGTGGGGTAACGACTATAGAGAAACTGTGGCTCTGAGGGAGAAACTGTTGGGTTATATTGGGCCTCCCAGCTGACTCCATTTTGTCTGCGAGCTGGGCACCCTTCTTTTAAGCACAATACGATTTCCAGGTGCATACATTTGTTAATACTAATAGTTACTCCTGTCAAGAACTGTGCAATAAGGGTGATGCAACTGTGACAAAAAGCACCATAGCGTGACAGGCTAGTGGGAGTTAGTAAGACAGTGGCGTGATGGAGATTTTGACAACAGAGCAGGTGGAGGAGGATCTGTAATTAGGGCTGGTACCAAGACCAGCAGCAATAGGAATGAAACATAGAAAGCAGACAACTGGTTGGGACTTTTGGAAATGATGCTGGCAAGGAAGAGGAGGAAGGACAAGCCAAACAAGAGAAGAATCAGAATCTGAGGCATCCATGATATAAATAAAGCAAGACAAGAACGAAGAGGCAGGGCTTGGAAGCAAGATAGGGAACTATAAAATCAGACATGGTAGAAGTTTTGCCAGGCTATTTGGGGTTTCTAAGCCAAGGCCTATGCACCCCGATCTATCATCACCCTGCAACTATCGGCAACTGTTGAGCAAAATAACAGCTACTCCTTTCTGATTTAGATCCAATCTTTACTAAGGTTTACTAAGGTTATTTGGACACATTTTACTAAACTGTGCATAAATAGAACTTCAGGATTAATTCTACACTTCAATAGTCTTTCTGAGACTACGGAAGTTCCCTGATTTCAACATTAAGGGTGTGTGCCTCACACAGCAACAATGTACCTTTAACTATAGTTTAGGTCATCAAGTACAGAACCAGTTATTTGTATTCTAATTTGTTAATTCCTTACCACAGCGTCACAAATTAAATTTCCCAAGTTGCACTCATGAAAACGGCAAGCATGAGTCGTACCATTTAGGTAAACAATTGTTTTCCCTATTACTTTCGAGGAATAGTTCTGTAGCTGATCCTTCATTGATGTAACTTCTGCTTTCACAGCTGGATCTAAAACAAAAATCGTGATTATAACAGTAACTGAGTTGAGACCGGGGTTCTGCAGTGCTTCACCGAGACTGTGCAACTGGCCATCTGCAACTGCTACAAAATTTGTGCTAGGTGATTGACTGCTATGTAACAACCTAGCTGGATTAAGGCATTGCAGACAGGAACTATATGAGCATCTCCCTCATTCTCCAAAGCATTTTCTTGCTTTCTAAACTGAAGTATTACATATAAATATGGAGGAAACCTTTATTTTTTCACTACATAGCATTACAATAGAATTGGTATTCAACCACCTCAAAGAGAATGCAATAGAAACGAAAACTCGGAAGTAATCTCAAATTTAGTTTTGAAAGGATTTCACAATTAGATGGAAAGGCTGTGGACAACTTGGATTTAGTTCTTCAAAAGCAATCTTCTTTCTCTTTGTATCAGGCATAAGAGTATTTTCAAGACAAAGTAGTTGTGATAGAAAAAACTCAAGGAAGAGGGGAAAACATTGCTGTTTCAGGTTCAAAGAAAAATATGCTTTGGAATGCATATGTGTGTGCACATAAGACTTGTCAGTACTTAATCCAAATGTGTTTCCCGCCCAGAAAATGGCACAACAAAGATAGAAATATAAGCCCGTGGGTGTACCCAAGCCTGTGGGTATTATCTACAGTAATGCTTTGAAACTAATCCAGATCTACAAAAAGTCTATGAAAGGGAGAAATAATACATTTCAAATAACCATGTTTATCTTTAGAGGTATTCATGAAAGTAGGTTGGGAACCATGTCACATCATTTCATTCCTGAGCAATGCAGTAATGGAAGAAGACTGATAATTGCCGTTATATCAGAAATGGTAGATTTCAAGTGCTTTGGATGTAGCATTGAAGAACACTGAGCCCCCAAATTTCAGGCTTTCCCTATAAAATCTGCTTCTGATTATCTCCCCATTTTCTTCAGTTTAGCAATAAAGAAGGTACAGAATGGGCAATCAGTTTGTTGCTGTCAAGGTTAAACAAAATGGAAAAGCTTTGTTGTTCTTTCACAAATCCCTTGAAAACATGCTACATATATATTTATGG